TATATATATGGTAGGTATAAAAATAATAATAATAATAATAATAATATATACCATCACTGTACGAGAAGCAGCTGACGGACACCGCTTGCTTGCGAGGGAGCGCGCGCGCATTGCACCCACGCCCCCGCGTATCGGTGATACGTATATATACATATATACATATATAGATTGTATACACGTATGTATCGCGGAATAGGTAGAGCCGAGAGTTACAAAAAAACGGTAGGCTCGGCAAGTGCTGGCTCGGCTCGCGCTCGGCCCGCTCGCACCTCTCCGGCTATACTCGAAACACATTGTTTCTATACGCGGCTTTTCACTTTTCTTGTTACGTTGTATATATTTTATGTACTTTCATATCGTGCGCGTATACGTATAGGTATATAATTTTAAAACGCGCGCGGAGGATAAATTTTCATACTTAGCCCCGGCCGCTTCGAGGGGCTGCATATAGGTAGTAGCTCTGCAGCCGGCATCAGTCCGCACGCGCGCCCACAACTGGATGATATTACACACAGTGATTTTGCACCCCAAGCATATACGAGCTCTTATCTCCGGGGTGTGCCTGCAGCGTCTGGCAGTAGAGTGTACTTACTTGGGGGGAGAGGGTGGCTTTTGGTTATTTTAGTTTTTCGCCGCTTTGTTTCTCGTTGTTGGTGTGTGGTGTGTGTGTGTGTGTGTGTGTGTTCTCGTGGTATGATTCCAACGATGGCGGGGAGCGAATTGAGGCCGCTTGATTTTCATAATCAGGCGCAGAGGCCGTCGGCAAAAAGAGCCCGCATTAAAATCTCGTGAGTTGGACTTGTTTTGTTTACCGATTGCACAAAAATAATACTTTTTTTTCCTTTTTTTTTTTGCACCGCCGAGTTCACGGTTTTGCGTCAACTCTCGCTTAATTATTTATTCGCCGAAACATTCGTTTCGACGTTACATTATAGATTGGTATTTTTTTTTTTGTTTGCTCCTTTCTCGAGTTTCACTACTGTTTTTTTTTATTTTTTCCTCGGTCTATTGATACTGAAATATTTATAAATGCTCACTGAATAATAATCACTTTATATACATTATATGTTGGTTGAATTTGTTATTCGTGAATACCTTGGCTGGTATGTTACTACACGAGCGTCGTAATAACGACTGGATTGAAATGATTTCATAATACCCATGTAAATTTGCTTACAGCTTTTCAATCGTTTCATATAATATATAATGTGCATGTAAATACACTGTTGATCCACGTGCCATTAAATCGCTTCTTGTGAAACGCATTGCAGTACTTAGTATAAAATTATTTTAAAAACAACAAAATGAATGATTATTTATCATTTTTGTTGTTAAAATTCATTATCGATGCACGTGAAGTGTTATGTCACGTATTAAACACTTTTCTTGCTTTTATTTTATTTTATTTTATTTTTTCATCCAGAGCTAGTCGAATGCATCCACACTCGGTTGTTTAACGACAAAACTTCAATAAGTACCGGTGTGACGTAAGTTGTGTACAAAGGTATGGGTCACATGAAAATTCAAACGACTGGCTTGGTTGTGCAGTGCACGATTGAATAATTTACGTATGGAAAAAGGACAGGTACGCGTAATTGTATTATCGAAGGTAGGGCGGTATAATTTTACTCTGGTTTATCATAAATTTACGAGGAAGGTTAACCGTGCACGACAAAAATTAGAGGTGACTTTACGCCCGCAATCGGCGGTGTGCGAGACTCCGTGCATTAAATTTCCTTCGCCTCCATCGATAACTCCGACGCGGTACAAAAGTATCTCGTAAAAAGAACGCACGTCACATTAATTTTCCCGATAAACTCTCTCGAGCAAAGTTTACCAGTGACACACGCACGTATAGGTACTCCGACGCAAAACACAATAGGCATATAATATGTGTATATGCATAGGTACCTTATATATATATATATACACAAAATTCCAATTGAATCCGAGCCCACGTTGGGGCGCGAGTCGTATTATGGTATCGCGTGACGCGCGTAATCCCCGTTAAAAATAATCGGCTCTTACAACCGGGCCGATCGATCCTCGCCCCGTGCAATTAACGGCAAACTTTGGCGAAAGTGTCAAGAGCAATCATCGCCGTTTTTCCGTCTCTCTCGCAATTCCGTTTTTTGGTTTGTGTTTCCTCCCTTCCTCCTTTGTTCAACTCATACTCGAGAGCTTACAACTTGGTTTTTTTTTTTTTTTTTTTTTTTTTATAGTTCGGCCATTTCAATTCCAACCGACTCACTCTGATGTAAAATAGGTATGTCCCCGTAGGCGTGTACACGATAAAACTTGGGTCTCTGCTTTTGGAGACCGAGCTATCGTGTATAGGTACACGGGCAGCGAAAGAAAACGGGGCCATGGGTCTGGCTCGGAAAATCGCTAGATCGAGCATGACGATGCCACATAAAAATAGACATCCGCGCCGAGCTGCGAGTCCGAATTTTCGTCTCGAGCTGGAAATCGTTGTTAATCGATACTGTAATCCAAACCAATAGATAATTGACTCGACACACGTCACACACACGGTACGGGATCAAACCGTGATCCAACTCATTTCGTCCCTATGGGAGTACACGCGTGTGCTCACCTGCCCTGACGGTGATTCAGCCAAACTCGAGGGGGGTACACACACATACTTCTCGCCACGCGAAAACGGTGTACAGTATGTATAGCACGCAGGTGGTGGTATACGTATGCACAAACTTCGACTGCTACGTGTATACAATACATACAGTCCTCATTATCTATGCCGGTTGACGTGTAAGTAATACAACGAAGTAGGCGTCGTTAGAGACTAGACGTAGCCCGTTAAAGACCTGCTATCAGCACGGGTGGCACGTGGATGAAGACGTTTGCCCCTTGCCTCCCCAAGATCGTTGGTACGGATAAGTTTCAAAGAGGGACATGTGGTGTGGGAGGAGGCGTTTTGCATGATGATTGAGCGTGATTGCGAGCTGTACCGATCGCGCGCCCAACCATGTGGGTTGATGAAAAAAAAAGGTAATTGGCGAGCCCGTTTGTACAGAGGAAGCGCTCGAGTGTTACATCAAAGGATGAGCTTTGATCGACTGCAGGATAATCGTCAATCTTTACACCGCTATTTTTTCCCTTTTTTTTTCTCCCTTACTATCCTACATCATCTTGAAGGCACGTGCACAAACATACTTATACCATTGTACCTACTCGGGTGATATTGTTTCGAAAGTGCAATTTTTCATGCTGGATTGGGTAAAAATTTGTAGAGCAACGTAATAAAAATCGGAATCGCAACCCCTTGCAGGGGCGGTAATGTGTACGTACAGTCGAGTCAAGTGGGTTAATGCCCGCTAATTTCGTTAATCTCGATCCCGATCTCCGAGCCGAGTTTGGTTTCAGCGTCCCGAGATTGTTATTGCCCCAACAATTGCCGCTGCCTACGCGCAAAAACGATATTTTACATATCCTCGACTATACTGTGAAACGTGGGCACACTATCGGTTAGATCTTTTGTTGTTGCATGGGAGAGCTGGATATGCAAATATAACTGCGGGGCAAACGATCCTAGGCACATATAGCTTTTTTTTTTATCTCTCTTGGTTATCACGTAGTGAGTGAAATTTTATTGACTTCTGTGTTTGGATTAAAAAAAAAAAAAAGATTTTTACTTCAATTAGTGTATCATCGATCGTTGAACTTGAGTTGATTTTACAATTGCAAAACCAAAAATTACCGATTTTTTGTTCATTATGGTACTTAGACAAAAAAAAAAAGCTTTTTACTTTAGTATGTTTGATCGGTGAGCTTGAGTTGGTTTTACACTTGCAAGACCATCAATTTGCGATTAGCTTTGTCTAAAATATTGTTAGCAACGCGAGGTGGTTTCCGATGTATACTTCTGGTAAAAACAATCAAGTACTTATTAAAAAATGCAAAAGTTCTTTATAGTCCTTAGATGTAGTATGTTTTTGCACTCAATAGGTTTCCGTGACTATGAAATTGAGATAAAATTTAATCCAAGATCCCTGATCCTACCGATACACACACACGAGGAAAACTTTGGCTGCTTCTCTAGCGTCTGTCAGTTCCGATTTCGCGCAGAGTCATTACAAGTTACCTCCTGCTCGGGTATCTCGTTTTCCCATGCACACGAGCTTTGCGCCCGAATCACGCCACCTCGCCTCCAACCCGCTCGTCCATCTTACGAGTCATTGCACCCCTCCCCCCCTCTAAAGGTATAGTATTACCTTCCGTTTTATCTTTTCAACTTGGCGGACGCGCGAGCGCCTCGTCTATTTAGAAAATTGCAAGCCATCCACTTTCATCCGGTTCTCCGGGAACGGGGAAGACGAGTAGAGAAACACCCGTCCGCGAAGTTTTCAAACGCAGCCTCGTAAAAGCGGGGCGTCTTTGGCACAGATAAGCTCTTGTCTCCTCGACCAACTCTCTTTCTTTTTGGTCCTTAATCGGAAAGCCCGAGGAGTAGCTCTCCAACTGGAGAAAAAAAAAAAAACAAACACCACCTTGCACGTTTCTCGTCCACGCACCTAATTAAAGCTGACGGTGTCAAGCTAACCCACACCTCTTTTTCTAAGTGATAGGGTGTATATTTGGTAAAAGTCATTGCGCGGTAGTGTATTGCGTCGAAGAGAGCTTTTTGCCATATCTAATGATTTTTATCGCCACGGATGGATGCTGGATGGATTTTGGCAACAACGAGTCTTCAGTTCGCGTGTGGTACTTTCCTCCGCGTTTGTCAGCAAAATGCAACCGATGGATCAAAGTATACTCGGCTCGATTGAGGCAATTTTACTTGTTCTTTTTTGCTCCTTACTACAAGAAGTGGAAATCTGTTGCGGAAACCCACTCGGAGCGTAGGTGTATACAGTTAGCGTCTGAATTTCGAGCCCACCTGCCCGCGTCGTTTAGCTACCGAAGCAAGACGTACATAAGGTGCGCGATAACGATCGTCTCACTTATCCTGTCGTACAGTGACGAAACAACGTGGCTACATGTACACCTCGTTGCATACACACACAAAACCATCGCATGCATGTCCCGGAAATCGAACAGTTTGTGATTCGGGTGTAGTACACGTGGTATACAATTGTGGACGATTGTGGACATCGGTACAGTATACCAATCTTGCAGTAAGTGTCCTTATACAACGTGGATGCGGGCAAAATTACCCCATTTACCCTGTATTGGGTATATATTATACCTATATCCCTTCTTGTGTAATGCATTTTTTTAACTGTAAATATAAAATATGATGATCTTAAAAAAGTGTCCCAAATAAAATAAAATGAAAAAGGTGATAGCGTACTCGAGCATCGCGTTTATTGGTGACGCGACGAGCGGATAATTAACGTGTATGCCAGCTGCTAGTGTTACGCGTACGAGCTTCTTTAAATAGAAAAGAAACTCCTTTGAACGGTAGTGAAAGAGAGAAGACACAATTGGCCTCTGTGATTCAGCTAAAAAGATATCGTTGAATTTCAAAAAAAAAAAAAAAAAAAAATCCTCGCGAGTAGCATTAGCTAATTAGATAATCACACCAATACGACTAGATTACACGCCACTGAATTAAAGGACATCAGCCTTCGTACAAGCTTACAAACCATTCGCGATACCTATACGTGTGTTATTAAGTTCGCGTTGCCGATAGAGCAATTGTGCACTATATATATATCAGCATTATTCAAGAGCACTCGTGGCTCCTTGAACCTCCATAATTCCCAAAAGATTCGCGCCTCCCGGCAACATTTACCATCTCTATTTTTAATACGAAGACAGGAATAGG